ACCGAATTCTTTCACCATTCGAATCAACTCGTTAAGTGCTACAATTTGATGTATAATTATGCAATGTTTCCTTCATTTTCACCGACTTCGGTTTCACCCTCACCAAAAACTTGAGGTGTGTAGAAAATCACTTTGGTTTAAACTTTAATCTTGAACCAGAACGAAATTGAGAATATAAATTCCCATTATATCATTCTGAAACTTAAACTATCAAAATCACTTTCCACACGTTTCTTCAAAAAAGTGTAAGCGAGACCTTTAAGTTATTTTTGATGCTCTACAAGACGGGCAAAGTGAAATTTTCGCGGCAAGATGCTCTGTATAAAGTGGGCGAACCTGTGTGGAAGTACCCGCTATTCGTTTTAAGACCATTATTGCACCATTGTGGGCTGTTAACACTCTATTGTTCGAATGTTTTCCTAAGATAGTTTTTTCTTGCTAGTAACATTACAAAAGCTAATTAACAAATTTCAATACTTTTGGTTCTTTAGACCGTGGTATCACAACTATCAGCTGTCCCAGAACTAGAGGCTACTCGAGACAAATATTCGATGACTTGCATAATCAAAGAAGAGAAAAATTATAAGCTGTCTTAAGAGAATCAGTGTAGTCATAATGGGCAAAAGAGTGAATGATTTATTGACAAATGACTAAAAACTATCATTTAACTGTGAAGGTTAAATGTTAGTTATTTTCTGATATTTTATCTGTTCTAAAATGGCATACCAACAGGCAGTTAATGACTGATGTGAATTTTAGTTTAAAGTATAAACAGTTAAATGCTTGTGTTTAGACTATGATTTACGGTAAAATAAAGTACTAACCACGGTGAGTGTTAACCCTTTACGTCCGATTGTTCCTTTCAGAGGACATCACCATAACTGCTACAAAAAAGTTATGCAGCGCTAAATCAAAATTTTTTCAATAGGATTTTTTTCCAGCGTAAGTTGACACTATTTAAGCTAAAGATTGATAATAACAAAAAAATTTTCATCAAGTCTACACAAAGGTATACACGTTTCAAGTTTGATTTGCATGATCAATTGCTGACCGTAAAGGGTTAACAGACTGTTTTTTCACAGTTTTCAGCCGTTTAAAAGTCAATTTTTTCATTATGTAGTCAACGGGCTACGTATGAGTTACTAAATGTCAGTTTTCGTTGTTCAAACAAAACCATGATTGTGTTAAAATAGAAAACGTTTAATTAATCAGTTACCAGTAAAAATAGTCTGTCTGAAACCTGTCTGTACTTGTTTTGTTGAACAGTGAATATGTAAGATCAAAGTAGAAAACAGAATATAATAAATAGAGCTGATATTGAATTAAGTATAAAATGCTTGCCAAATATATAGAACATTAGTCTATAATGTGCGATGTAGTTGTTTGATAACATCTTACATTGACTTATGATATTGCCTATGTGACTTATTCATGTTTTATTTTATATTCAAGATCGTATTTTTTAATTTAAACTTTATTTATTAAATAACAAACCGGGACTGTGTCCATTATATATTTTGTGCAGTTGAACAAGCTTACAATATTTTTATTTGATTTTTGGGTAAGAGAGTTTAAATTTATTTCTTTTGAAGATGTTCATCATTTAATAATGCCGCCTATACGCTCCTAATGGTTCAACATTGCTAACAAAAAAACTTTCATCAAATTGTTGTTCTGTTCTTCTTCCCATATCGTATCGACGACAAACTTGACTTGTACTACCAACACCATAAATACTATCATTTGTACCATAAATTCGATTGTTATATTCTAAATAACATGTACGATAAATCACAAATAAACTAACAGATATACCAATAATAAATATAATCGAAATAGCTGCTATGACTGTACTTCGTTCAGCACCTTGTGCCGATTGAGGGCCATAGAGCGATTCTAAAAATAAACAATATTTTTTTTCAAAATAAAGATATACTTGTTTTTATAAGAAAACAAAAATGAATACTTACCATATGAATTTTTTCTCGTTACAATATTAGCCGGATTTGTTAATTCTGTGGTAAATTGCATTTGTACGTTTCTTATTTCAAAATGTTTATTTGTATCTGTTTTACTCAAACTAGCGTCAGTACTAAATATATCAGCTGAAAATTCTTGAATAGGTGTCGTTGTTGTTGTCCACGGAAAATTTAAAATTAATTTTGCCAATTTTTTTTCATCTAAATCATCTTCATTGCGACGACCACGTCTTCGACGAAACAAATTAATATCTTCTGATTCATCATTATTATTATTATCATCAACAATTGCTGAATCACTCAATTGTACAACATCATTTACTGCTGAAAAATTTCTTACTTTTGTTTGTGTACGAGGTAGTGCTAAAAAATCATTGTTAGTATTAGTATTTTGACAAATACGTTCTTGACAATATTCTGTGCGTCCAAAGCAAATGGCAACTGAACAACGAAGATAAGCTATTGATGTTGATTCAAATTTAACTGCTTTAAATATTGTACTTTTAATATGGTGTGGATCGAGACGTTGAAATCGAAGAGAAAAACGCTCTTTTGATGGACATCTGAAAAAAGATATTTAATATATTATATAGATATATATATTTATATAAATGTGCATATTTCAATTTATGCCAAAATGAATTTACCGATTTATTAGAAGATTGATTTTTTCTAATTTTGGATCATTGTCTGATACACCCGAAGCAATTGAACAATTTTCAGCAATAATTTGATGTTCAACATTATTGTCTAAATATAAAAACGATATTAAGAGAAAATTAATGAAAAATAGTGTTTTAAATCATCCTACCTGACTTATATTTCAGTTCAATAAATAATCTATCACCAAGATAAACGGAGCCACCGTTTTCTATTAATCGTTGTTGATTTAAATCATATAGAGCAAGTGCAAGCTCGCCTTTGGCTAATGATGAACTACCAGCGGACACAATTGTTATTGCCGATTCGGTATTATGTGCTCTAGAAAACATTTGAGTTTTTCTACCTTAAAAAACAGAATAATATAAAAACCATTACTTTTTTCTCAATCCTGGTGTTACAGGTATTATAAATGATTTAATTGATGTTGTTTTTGAATTACACAAGGCATTATCGGCTGGACAATAGCAACCGTCCATTCTATCATCATTGTTTTCATCCAGGCACACACCATTGCCATTTATACAATTAGAACACGATGAATCTGATGTAACATTAATTACTTTTACTAAAAATAGAAAATAAAATGAACATTTAGACGCACATTGCAGATGTAAAAAGCTTACAACAATGAGTTTTATTCACAGAAATAAATTGATCTCGACAAACACATCGAAATGTGCCACCGACACGTTTGCAATTCGTATTAATACTTGCACATGTACCAGGTATACAAAACTCACCAAGTTTACGCTGTGATTGGTTAGCTAAAATTATATAGATGTTATGATGATTAATACAATCAATGTATAGGTGATATATGAAAAACTTTTTAATGCAAGATTTTTATTTGAATGTATCCGTTGTTTCACTCGAGTAAATGAGTGTTGCTGTTACCTTTATTTCCGTAAGTAATGATTATGCACTACTCCCAGTAGAGATGTTTGTGCAGGCTATTGAAACTCGAAATTGCTACTAATTTAGGAGAGAATAACATGTAGTAAAAGTTTTTAAATCGGATATATAAAATTTCTGAAGACCTATCTAACTGTTTATCAAAATTTAGACTTTGATATTATACAAGATATCCATGATAATTTACTCCGGCAATTTTGATAATAACTCACATTTTACTTTACCGGTACTCAATTTGATTTGTTGAGTAGTAATTAAAAATGTGATGATTATGAGATAAAACATCATTCTTAAATTCTATTGAATTTTACTACGAATAACTTTGTTCTAGCGGACCATAGCCTCAACATTATTTCTTCTTGTATCACAAAAAATGTTCTTTATTTATTTACTACACGCTTTTTCGAGGTATTCTTTCATTCTCATTGTGAATAAACATTGTTCTATAATCCTAATGTCATCTTTAGTTTGAGATCATTAAAAGCTAATCATCAATTTTTATCATTCATTCGTTCACTTGATCTCGTTTGTTTATCATTTGTTTGACTTTCACAATAGAACAACATTATCTCTACCAACCTCTTTTTTTTTATTCTCTACACTTGCATATGTGAATCTGTGTAATGACAAACAATGTATAATTAGCTATTGCTTTTTGCCTTTTTTGATTTAAGAGTTCATAGAAAACCAAATACATATTTAGCAGCTTTTATTCAAAAAATATTCGTTTGATAAAGTATAATACATTTGTAAAAACGATAAGTGTATCATTTGAAGCAGTTGTTTGTTATAAGCAGGCTCTTTCTGGTTCGCCTACTGCCGGAACATCTATGATTGTACCATTATTGCAAAAACAATCAATTGGTGCATAGGGATTTCTACTTGGATAAGGCTTGCCTTTACCACATCGGTCCGAATCCTTGTATTGTTGTACGGTCACAAGTACAGCTAAAATGGTTAACGCGAAAAGAAAAATCAGTAAAGTAAATTAATTTCAATAAAAAGTATCTCTCAGTTCCCTTCAAACTTAGTATCATGAAATGACAATTTTTTCGTGGAACTAGCTAATTTATTAGGAACAGATCTTTCGCCGTAATCATCGAATCCTAATTTCAATACGAGAGAACATTCTCTTCCTATAGAGCTTACCGTTGCATGACTCTGTCAGAGCTATGTAACCATCTCGGCACGAGCATACGTAATTTACTGGTTTTAGATTTGGTACCATTAAACCGTCTGTTTCAACGCAAATACCGTCCTCTCCACAAGTGTTTATTGGACATTCTAAATTAACAAAGTGGAGAATGTGATATATTCTCAAAGCCATCTTTACTACCTTTAAAACGTGGACATGGGTTGTTCGAGTAGAGTCCACCTTGACATAAACATTTGTATTTCTTTGGCAGTGTATAGTCCGGCTTACAATAACCACCTCCACATACTGCTTTTTCTCTACATATATCTAGAAAACAATATCGTCCATTGATCATTCTTTATCTAAAAATCTTATATTAAATACCGGCCGGCGATTCGCAATGTAAACCCGTTCGGTTAACTGGGCAAGCACACACCACACTGGTATTGTTTTTCTGTCGTACACACGCTCCCGGACCACAGTTAACGTCTAAGCAAGGGTCTATGTGGAAAAAAAAAGAAAATCATTAACGAACAAGAAGAAATATAGACGATTGATAATTAAATTTACCAGGACATTTAGTGCCGTCAAGATTTATTTTATTATCAGCACATTCACATGCTGCCATGCCATTGACGTCTTTACAAGATCCAAAACCGCAATCTTTACCTAGACAGGGATCTTATCAAGGAAAAGAATGCAAATTTAAGTACCTTAAATGTCAACGTTTCTTTCGATTCCTACCCGTCAATTTTGTTTGACAACGTGATCCTGTAAAGTAAGGTGGACATGTACAATAGTAGACTGTTTCATTAAACGATTCACAAGTGCCACCATTAAGACACTGATTCACGTAGCATGCAGCTGTAATGAAAGTATGCAAATAATGACTCAATAAAGAAGTCAGATTGACCTAACCAACCTTGTTTTTCACATTTATTGCCCGTAAATTGAGGTGAACATGTGCAAAGAAAGGTACCGTCTCTCTTGTTACTACAAATTCCATTATTTTGACAAATGCTCGGCACTCCGTGGCATGGACCTTGAAGCCAAAATTTGTAAAAAATCAAGAAATGATCTCTAGTAGATTATTTACTATTTTCACATTTGATCAAGTTATCAATAGTCTCAGCAAATGTGCTCGGATAATTTCCGCAATCGCATGAGAATTTTGGTGGACTAGTTTTTCGTTTACATACACCTTGACCACAGATACCCGGTTTTGATGAACATAGATCACCTAAATTATAAAAAATTTCATAAGAATGTTCAAGAGTCTCGTTCGTTGCTAACAGTATTTAACACACCTGTTATTTCGGTACCACACTCTCGGTCTGTCCATTTTTCAGGACAAGTACAGAAAAACTGATTACTTATTATACTACATGTACCGCCATTTTTACAACTTGGTTCGGATGTGTCCACTGTAAAGCAAGGATCTGAAAATAATAAGTGAAAAATTAGATCTCTGTAAAATATTTAGAGTCTAACTTGATTTTCACTTACTTTGTGGACAACTTGTATTATCTGATGGAAGTTTTTTCGAACCATCGTAACATTGACAATAGATGGGCATTTGCTCAGAATCAGTTTCAACACACTGACTATTTTTACATGTGGTCGGGATGCAGCCTACAATATATTTATTTATGTATATGATTTGATTTGATTTTATACTCACTTTCTAATGGTTTTTCACAATTTAGACCACCAAATCTTCCGGTACAATTACATCGATGTTGTGTTAAACCTTCTCGGATACATTGTCCTCCATTGTCGCAAGTTACACCAAGGCATGGATCTACTATAGCTATAACAAAATACAAAATATAAAATTGTTTAGTACAGATTTTTTACCACACCCATTTTAACCTACTCGTTCTGCATGGTGTGAAAATATCTTTCGTTACATATTCATCATCCGAACACCAGCAACCAAATCGATTTGAATCTTCCGTACAAGATTCACACACGTGTGTAACATTAAGTGGACATCCAGTAGATACATTAAAACTTGCTAAAGTGTAAAAATAATATTAAATAAAGACAGCCATCTTACACGGATTTTTCTTACTGTATGGAACAGCACAATCAATAAATGCAACAAGTCCAAAGATGGTCAATAAGAGCAGATTTGTAAATATCATTACTGACTAATCCTAAATGGAGAAAAATTGTTTAAACTTGATTAAAGTTATAATTTTAATGCTAAACTACGCTTTAAACTTAGGAATCGATGTATTATTTTTGAGTAATCAAAATTTCATTTAAAGAAAGTGTCAAAAATAAGAATCGCTTACTTGGTTTAAAAAGGTTTTATTTTTTTGCGTGTAGATTTGAATTGGCATGCAAGATATATATATATATACATGTATATATAAATCAACAATGAATTAAATGTATGAAAAATATTTTGCCTATATTATTTGCGATTATTTAACGTCTAGAACTGACTCATTTCTATTGTTTCACATGTTGATCTAAAGACTTCCATTACACATATGTACTCTCATAAATGATCCATATTTACAAGAATATTATTTTGTGTTAACAATTTAAATATAATGTTAACATAATTTAATACGAACAGGATTAATGGAACATTGAAAGAAAGCTGAAGCATTAATGTGGGCTTCAAAGCAATTCCATCTAATCACAAAATCAATGTTTTTAAACGGAAAATAATTTTGGACGATTTGTTCTAAGAAAAATACTCGATTCAACATATTAATTTTGATCTAAATAAGCGAATGAGTAAGCTATACTGTTGTGTAATATGTATAATGTAATGTTTGAAAGCCCAATTCTAATGGTACCATTAATGATTGTGTCTCTTAATTTTTAAAATTTGATCATCATTATATATTTTATGAATCAGGTGACTTTTGTCTAAATATATTGAGTCTTTGTCGGCGAAAATAATCTTTTGAGAGATAATAACATGTGTTATTAAAAGATAATAAAAAGGTCAAATGCCAGAAGCACTATTACTAGGAGAGTTTAAAGTGAAAAATACATTATAGGTGTTTTTTTGTTTTAATAATTATAAAACATCTAGTTAATGCATAATTGTACTTGTAGTCGATAAATGAGACATTAAGATATTGTTAGACTAAAACTAATCTATACGTTACGAAAGATATGTCAATTTGTTATTGTTCTTTGTCTTTTGTAGAAAATAACGTTTAACATCGTAAATGGAACTGAAATATCAAAATGAGAAACAGTCAAAAGATCATTATTTAATCTAAGTTTTAGTAGAATATTTTTTTAATTTTTCACTCATTGGATCGAATAATTAGAAATATATATTCAAACTATCCGCGAGTGCAGTCTGTCTAAATGCTGCACATACTTAAAACATGACAACTTTATTAGAAAAGTTTAGAAACATGAAGATATAGTATAAATAGCAGTTAACAATCTTCCTACAGAATATAAACGTCAGCTTATAGAACGAGTCTTAGATTGTGCGTAAAGCGAAAAATTCAAAAATTTGATCATGCATACTTACTAAGAAACAAACGGTTGTTATATGTATGCTACAATTTCATTTTGAAACAAAATAACAAGTAAGAGCACGTTAGACTAATATTAGCAGTCCTGGACCTTTAACACGTAAGTCAACGTTTTTTTCTGGTCATCTAAACAGCTACTTAAAAAAAATCATTTTAAATCTATCAGTTCTTTCGTACATAGCATGTTGGTAGTCAACTATCATAAACAAAAACAAACTTTGTGTATACATTACAACTATTTTTAGTTAATTTATAGAAATTCATTCTTAGATATTACATCACGACGTCTTGTTCAAATACTCTAACCAGTATTTTTTATTTACGAGGAAACCTGTGGAGATAATACCCTCCGTTTTCCATGAGTTATACCTCAATCGATAGAGTATATCGAGCTACTAAAAAGATTCATCCCTATGATCTGTGTTCTAAAGTTATATCATTTTTTCGTTTTCAAGCCCTCTTGGGTTCGAAAACTTGAGCCCAAGAGGTAAAAATTCAATAACTCAACGAAAAGTTTTCGGAATTCACTATAATTTTCTATGATTATAATAGACAAAGCTCGATATACTCTATCGATTGAGGTATAAACCGTGAAAAACGAAGGGTATCATCTCCATAGGTCGTTAGTCTTTTCGATGCGATCAATGGCTGTTCAAGATGGCAAACCTAAAGTTTAAGTTTTTTCTAGACAGGTATCACCAGGTTTGTACTAAAAAGCAGAAAAAAAAGCGCAACTCTCTGTTACTTTGCTATTGTGAGTTCTCTAAAAGCAAACAAGCACATTCTGTTTTGAAATGGATAGTAGGTTCAAGAATAATTTGCTTGTATGAAAATCTAAAACCAACATCACTTATGGAATGGATATAGTTGAACATTGAATGGAAAGGTTTCTACTGATATTTAGTCAAAACTCATTTAACTCAAAATACGATAAAAAGTATATGGTTAGATGCGCAATGGAAAACAGATCCATTACTCTATTCTATTCGATTCCATTAGAAAACAATTTATTGAGAAAATATGAGTTTTTAAAGTCGATCAGGTGTCATCAGTCAAAAAAAAATTTGTTTTCTGTTTTCTATCTGAATTCTATTATTCCAGTTTTGCTTAAGAACTGCTCGCGAGTATAGCCTATTTATTTCACATAAAGTAGTTGGAATACTTATTGTCCTAACTACTGGAAAAAAAATTTTTTGTTCGACATTCCTACATCATTTAAATTGATGTCAATAAAAATCAGTTTTTTCGCTTATTTTAAGTTTCTAATAAAAACTAATACCATATTTCTAATCTACGAATAAAACTACATCGAACAGACTAATTTAGAAGTATTTACTTGTCACATCCAATATCTATGGTAAACATGACGTTGAGACATCATCTTTTTTTACAACTGACGTGCATATTCAAGCACAAATGCACTGAGTAATAAAACAGACATGAGCCATGTTTTCCAGAGTTATTTCTCAACTATAAAATCTTATAGTTAGACATTACTTATTCAAAATAAAAAAAGTTCTATTATATTTATTTCATTGTTAAGATATCTTTTTAAAAAAAAATGTACGAATTGTTGAACCGTAAAAAAAGAATAGAACAGTTTGAAAATGTTAAATATAAACAGATTATGATTTCTTTTCATGAATTTAGTCTACTTTCTGTATTATTTTTATACTACATATTCATGTTTCTAAACTTTTCTAGTGAAGTTGTCATGCTTCAGGTATGTGTAACATTTAGACAGACTGCACTCGCGGATAGTTTGAATATATATTTCTAATTATTCGATCCAATGAGTAAAAAATTAAAAAAATATTCTACTAAAACTTAGATTAAATAATGATCTTTTGACTGTTTCTCATTTTGATATTTCAGTTTCATTCACGATATTAAAAGTCACTTTCTACAAAAATTGATGACTTTTTTTCAACACAAAACCACATAATACAATGAGCTTACGAATGAGTGATCTAAACTGTCTACTGTCAGAATATATAGAAGGGGCTGACAATTTTTAGATTCAAAACTGTTTTATTCTGATCCCCTATGGAAATTGATAATAAAAAATTAAACTGGGCATTAATAATGCCAAAAATGAGGAAAAAATTGATTAAAGATGAGCAGAATCGCACAAGGCTTAGAAGTACATTTTGCAAATTTATCTGGTTTTCCTAAATAAGAATTAGAACATTTCTTTTTATTTTATTCTGTCCCATACGTCCACAAGAAAAAAATTACGCATCAGTCTCTTATTCTACATCAAATTGTTACTGAAAAATTCATTTTTTTTCAAAATAAGAGAATTTTGTTATTAATTTTGTTAATTAAAGAAAGTGGTAGGGATTTCTACCAAAAGATAAATCTCGTTCAAAATTACAAATATGAGTAACAAATAATGTAAATATTAATAGGAATAGAGCTGAGCTCTCTATCTATACAAACACTCTGTATAGATTATATTCGCTATTTTCCGTGTGTAAAATATTAATACGTAAGTTATCGATAATTCAAAGTACAATGGATATTTTTCCTTTCATTATATATGGTTGCATAGAGTGCATCGAGCTGATTGAGAAAATGCAGTTTTTAATTTGTTCAAAAAAAAATATTTCGAGAGAAGAAACTTAAAGGGTGTAGATGTTTAAAAAACGCTTCAGTTTTACCACTACTCGAGTACAGTAGGGAAAAAAAATGAAAAGACCTGACTACTATTGTTGAGTGAATTTTGTATCAACTACAAGAAAAGAAGGAATGACTTAAAATGTGTCGAAAATGAGTATAGCAACGAAGAAATTCTAGCGATATGAGAGCTGTTGCGATAGTCGTGAAAATTGAGGTAAAAATATAACGATTGCGCTTAATAGCTTAAAACTAAATCGATGAAATTTCAAATATATTGACATTCTTTGACTTTTTTACGTTTCTTATAAAACTAAGTATATTTAATATAATTGAAAAACATTTTTGTAAAATCATTTTACACAAAAAGCGAGCTTTCGATACTTCACAGTATCA